ATAATATAAGCACAGTGCAACCATTTCAGGAATCCTGGAGGTTTTTTTTTTGTTTTTATTCACTCATGAGATATGGATGTCATTGGCTGGGGCAGATTTATTACCCATCCTTGGTTGCTCTTTAGAAGGTGGTGGTAAGCTGGCTTCTTGAACTGCTGCAGTCCATGTGGTATAGGTGGACCCACAATACTGTTGAGGATTGAGTTCCAACATTTTCTAGTGATGCTGAAGGAACAGTGATATATTTCCAAATCAGGTTAGCATGTGGTTTGGAAGGGAACCTGCAGGCAGTGGTGTTCCCATGTCTCTGCTACCCTTGATCTCCAAGCCATTCCTGCAGTCTGTAGCCATTGTAAATAATCTGATTTCCGGCTGTTATATTTTCCATCCTCCTCCCAGTCTCTGGAGTCTCACACCACATACGTTTTGGTTCAATATCCTAGTTTAATGAGTGTTTTTTTTTAAAAAAAACTTATTTTGCTTCCTGGTTTAGTAGGAACTGCAGATGCTGGAGAATCTGAAATAACAAGGTGTAGAGCTGGATGAACACAGCAGGCCAAGCAGCATCAGAGGAGCAGGAAGGCTGACGTTTCGGACCTAGACTCTTCTTAAGAAATCATTAAATGATTAAAGATGAACGCCGTTTTTTTCGGGCGGGGAGGGGGTTCAGTTTGGGGCATTTCTTACCCGGGGTAAAAAGTCGCAGTTTGGGGCATTTGGGATCACACTGATACTACAATGTGACAGAACAGCTGAGGGCGTGCCTTCTAATGATTGACATCCATTGCAACCAATCACGTATCTAACCAGGAAGACCAGCCAATTACAAAGAGGCAGGGCGGGCGAATCCCGCCCACTTGTGACGTCCCGCGGTGATCCTTGCTACAAAACAATTGTTGCAAAATACCTCGATGAAGGAGCAAGGTTTAAATGAGTTGATTAAAACATTCTGGGAGCCAAGGACAAAAGCGAAAATGAACTGAAGCGACTAAGATGTGTAGTTTTAATTAGCATCCAATCGCAGTGGCCTGGGGAAATGATGGACGTGGGGTTGTCCAATTGAAATGCGGCTATGTCATCAGTGACCAATGAGAGCTTGGTATGGGCGGGGTTACAGGGGGTTAGTACGACTGGTGGATGAAGCCCCTAGCTTTGGGGGGGGGGGTGCTGGTGGAGGAAGCGGCCGGCAGTGGGAAAGCAGGAGGCTGGGGCTTCGAAAAGGACAAGATGACCAGTCATTCGGTGACCATTCCCATGGTCTGCTTCACTATCTTCTGGGGACTTGTGGGCTTTGCTCTGCCTTGGTTTGTGCCGAAGGGTCCCAACAGAGGGTACGTAGCCACCGCATTTCTAACGGCTGGTGATGGATTCACTGATGGGGGAATATCTGGGGTCTGACATCCTGCACAAATTAGTCCATATTTTCATGTCTTTAGATTTATTATAAACCTGATTTTTTTTTTCCTCTGTCGCCTTAATTTTCCGTTATTCCAGAAGAAGTCGCCTAAGATCTCCAAATGCAGAAAAAAGGTGTTAATATTTCATTCAAAAATGGGAATTGCTGGAAAAGCTCAGCAGGTTTGGCAGCATTTGTGGAGAGAGAAATCAGAGTTAACGTTTCGGGTCCGGTGACCCTTCCTCAGAAGTGCTCAGTGCCTGTTCTGAGGAAGGGTCAGTGAACCCGAAACGTTAAATCTGATTTTTTTCCCCCCCCCCCACAGTTATTGTCAGACCTGCTGAGCATTTCCACCAATTTCTATTTTTGTGTCTGATTTACAGCATCCGCAATTCTTAAGGTTTTTACTTGTTATATTTTCCGTTGTGCTGTATTTCAGTTCGTCACCCCGTTTCATTTGTTTTGTCTCCACCTCAATGCGTATTATTTTTCTCCTCACTTGCATGCAATTCCCGCTTTTTCCCTCTCTCCTCTTTTAAGATTCTCCATGAAACCTACCTCTTTGACCAGGTCAGCTGTCCTCATGACCTGCTGTGCTGTTTTGTATCATGTATTGTTAATGTTCCCTGTGAGATGTCTTGGCAAGTTTTTTTTTTATGCTGATGTTATATAATTGAAAATTCTTATAAAGAGTGACTTGCATTGAGTCGTCTCTCACAGCCGCTGAGGATGTTCCTAAACACCTCGTAATCAATGAAGTACATTTGAAGTAATATAGGAAACATGAGTGGTCATTTGTGCACAACAAGCTGCTATAAACAGCAATGTAATAATGACCAGATAACCTGTCCATGGATTCATAAGATTGTTGCAGTACAGAATGAGGGAATTCAGCCTGTCATACCCATACTAGCTCTCTGCAAAAATAACTTGTCCCGAACTGAAACGTCAACTTTTCTGCTGCCTAGCTTGCTGTGTTCCTCCAGCTCCACTTTGTGTTATCTCTGACTCCAGCATCAGCAGTTCTTACTATCTCTGTCGGTTAACTCTGCTTTGTTGCCTTTGCAATTATTCTTTGTGTTGGTTGTTTGAGGGACAAGTATTGGTCAGTTTCCCTGCTCTTCTTTGAAATGTTGCATGCATGAGGGCAATCGGGGACTCTGTTTAATGGCTCATCCAAAAGACAGCACTCTGATGTTCCAGCATCCCCTCAGTACTGCACTGAAGTATCAGGCTTGGTTTCTGTGTTAGCATCCTGGAGTGATACTTAAATTCTCAATCTTGTCAGTTGGAGACTACCACATACTCACCAAGCCATGGCTTGTGGTTTTATTCTGCTGAGCCTTTCAGTATTGCAGAGATTGAGGGAAGCCTCCAGTTTGAAATAGTTGCATTTTGGCTACACTGAAGATGTTGATGTATTTGTCATTCATTTATTTGCACATCTTGGAATAAGTATTGATATTTTGGTTAAAAGGTGTTTATGGAGTAAATATTCAGTGAGAGATCATTGATGCTGAGGTGTTCCAATTCAGGGCTAAGTTCAGAAACCAGTTTGGTTCCTAGAGAACAATGGAGTGTCCTCTTGGTCTATTCCAGACTGCACTATAAAGATAATCTACAAAATCCCCTGCCTCAAAAATGCTTCCCCTACTGTTTCTTTAGTTTAAACTGATGCATGTATGGTGTGGCCTGCATAAGTTTGTGAATTGCTGCAACCTTTGTTTTGCATGCCTTACAGCTGCATAGGATATTCCCACACTTAACATAGCCTCTGTGTTGAAGAGGACTGTAACCAACAGTGTTGAAATCTTTATCAATGAAAATATGTTTTGTACAGAAGGATACAGAAGATTGGCACTAACGTTGGTCACCAAGGCATTTACAACATTGGTATTGACCACCATCTCAATCCATGTGCTAGTTTTTACAGTTTTAGTTTTAGGCAAATCTTAATCTTATAAATGTAAGTACTGAGGAATATGCACTCCCAATGTTAACATCCACCAGGCATCCATTACTTGAGCAGCATCTCCTGCTCGATTTTTATTGTTTTTTTTTAATATCCCATTCACACTGTCTTCAGGGTGAAGTCACTAAATTATGCTTGATTTTGAGCTATTTTCGTAAGAGAGTCCTCTACATAAAAATTAAGATAGGCCATTTGTCCCTTGAGTCTGCTACCTAGTTTGATAACATCACATCGGTGATCGATTGTGGCCTCATATCCACTTTTTCCTGTCTACCCCATTTAACTGTTTGCTCCCTTCTTGATCAAGAACCAACCTAACTTTACCATTACAGTTTTTAATAATCCCCACCTCCATCGTTTTTTTTTTAGTTTTTCCCCAGAAATCCAAAGATTCTCAACCCTCTGAGAAAAAAAATCCTCCTCATCACTGTCTTAACTGAAAGACCCTTTATTTTTAAAATGTTTGACAAGGTGAAATATCTTTTCAACTGCACCCTCTTAGATCAAGGTCATCTACGGTTCTTTTGTTTTATTATACCCCTCAAGATCCAGTATGTTTCAATCAGATCATCTGTCTTTTGAATTCCAATATATTGTCTGAACCTGTCCAATCTTTCACCGAAAGTCAATTCCCAACCCAGATATCAGTTCCGAGAGCCTTCTCCAAACCTCTGCAAGCACACTTTCTCAAATAAAGAACCTGAACTGTACTGTACACATCACTTCAGATTGGTTTCACTAAGGCCCTGTACAGCGGTAGCAAAACATTCTTGTTTTTATGTTCTTGCAATAAACAACAAAAATCCTTTGCTTTCCTAAATTATTTACTATGACTAAATACTAATGCTTTATGATCTATGTACCTCTGTTCTGCAGTCTGTCTCCATTTAAATGATATACTGCTTTTCTATTTTCCCTGACAAATTGGACACGTTCACATTTTCCCACGTTGCACTGTAACTGTCACACTTTTGCCCATTTCTGTCAGCTATTCATTTCCCATTGCAGACTTGCTATTATTCTCCTTCACAATTTATTTTCCTACCTACTACTGTACCATCAACAAATTTAGAAGCCATGCCTTTGATAACTTTAGTGAAGGAACCAATACAAATTGTCAATAATTGAGACCCTGACACTGATCCCTGTAGTCCACCACTTGAGTTTTGATGAGCTAGCATGGAGAAGATATTTGCAATCATGATGAAGGTTAAAATGAAATGTAATTTAAATATAGGAGAGTCACTGAAAATCCAATAGGATGGTCATTCACCTTCTGAACAATATATCACAGTTCCTGGGTCAAAAACCTGGAAATTTCTTCCTACGTATGTATCTACATTAAACTGACTTCAACAGTTCAAGATGCTTCAGTATCACTGTTTCATGAGAAAACTAGAGGTGGGCAATAATTACTTAATGTTGTCAGTGATGCCCACGACATTATAGTTACTTGTATTTAGCGTGACTAATGGATTGAACCATTTCACATGAGTATTATAATGTGGAAAAGATACTGCACTAATCAAAGCAATATTAGGACAGATGATCGAAAGTTTGGTCAAGGACATAAGTTTTAAGAAGTGCTTTCAAAGAGGAAGGGGAGGCAGGGAGTCAGAAATTTAGTGAGGGAATTCCATAGCTCAGGGATTTGGAAGATGAATGCACAGCTGCCAGCGATGGATTGATTAAAAATTGGGGATGCTCGAGGTCAGAATCTGTTGAGTGTAGAAATCTGAGGAATGTGGGCCTGGTGAAGATTATTGAAATAGCCCAAGGATGCCTTTAATGAAAATTGTTTCTCTTTAACATTGTACCTTGCCTGTTCCTCCCACTTCTTAACCTTCAGCTGAGAAGCATTTTGAGTTCTCCGATTTCCCTAAGGTATAACCTGACAGATTGTTTAGTTAAGAGTATTGGCATTTCTTATTCATTTTTAATTCCACCCTTCTTTTATTTTGCAGTGTAATAATAACCATGATCGTCACCACAGCTGTTTGTTGCTACTTGTTGTAAGTACCATATTATGGACTAGATGTATACTAAAAGAAGCAATGAACTTGTAAAGGTCAATTAGAAATGCAGTCATCCCAGAGAATTGACAGAAAACTAATAATGCCCTAATTCCTCCTTACATATAGGAACAATCCCTAGATCAAAGAGCAGTTTGCTTGAGGTTTCTGGGTTGAAATAAAAGGAAATCTGAAATCCAAGATGTCTATGAAGAGTACCTTGCAGTTAAAAATATAATGTATAATTTCAGCATGCGTTTCAATAGAGAAAGTTTGTATAAGGACATCTCTGCAGGAGTTCCTCGGGAGAGCCATCTAGGCCCAACCATCTTCAGCTGCTTCATCAAAGACCTTCCCTCCATCATGAGATCAAAACTTTCATGTTCGCTGACAATTGAATGATGTTGCAAATGGTGCTGGACAAGTCGGATCCAAAAGCAGCCCATGTCAAATGCAGCAAGTCCTAGACAATATCCAAGGCTTGCGTTGAAAATTGGCAAGAAACATTTGTGCCCCACAAATGCCAGGCCATCTCCAACAACAGAGAATCTAAATATCGTCCCTTTCAGCAATGGTAATTCCATTGACTGTAATTCCTCATTACCAACATCCTGGGGGTTACTATTGGTCAGAAACTGAACTGCCATATAAACACAGTGGCTACAGGGGCAGGTCAGAGACTAGGAATCCTGCAGTGAGTAACTCACCTCCTGACTCCCCAAAGCCTGTCCACCATCCACAAGGCACAGTTTAGTAGGGTGTTGCAATGCTCCCCACTTGCCTGGATGGGTGCAGCTCCAACAACACTCAAGAAACCTGACACCTGCCAGGACAAAGCAGCCTGCTTGATTTAGCAACTTATTCACAAATATCTACTCTCTCCACCATCCATACTCAGTAGTATTCTTGTGTACCATCTACAAGAGGCTCTTCAGAAATTCACCAAAGATCCTTGGACAACAATTTCCAAACCCACAACCACTTCTGTGTTGAAGTACAAGGGTAGCAGATACATGGGAACACCTCCACTTGAAAGTTCCCCTCTAAGCCAGTCACTATCCTGACATGGAAATATATCACTATTCCTTAAGTGTCACTGGGTCAAAAGCCTGGAATTCTCTCCCTAATTATGGGCACACTAATTGGACTACAACCAGCTCAAGAAGGCAGCTCACTACCACCTCCTCATGGGCAACTAGGGATAGAAATAAATGCTGACCTGGCTAGTGATGCTCACATCTCATGAGTAAAGTTAAAAATCCAGCCTTAACCACAGCAATGTGATTGCCCAGAGGACAGTTGAGAGCCAATTGGGGATGGGCAATGAATGCTGTCCTAGATAGTGATACCCACTGTGAATGAATAAAAAGGAGAGAATAAATAGGGGTACATGGTAGATGTAAAATACTTGGATTTCCAAACAGCATGTGATAGCACGTTGCATAGTAGACACATGATTAAAGTCAGGGATGTGTGATAGATTAGATAACAAGGTGGCTACAGGGCAGAATTCCGATATCTCTTTGGGCTGACTTAGGAAAGTCTGTTGCTAATCTGCTTTCATTCAAGATGAGTGTAGCTGATAGCTGTGTCCTCTGTCGACTACTGAGATGTACTCCACGTTGTGGGCTAATGCCATATATTTATACATATATGGTTACGAAAGTGAGATTATAACTTCATTCCATCTTTTCTGTGCTATCGGTTTAATCCCTTGAGTTAATGAATAACAGTGTAGCTGGCTGGATCTAACTGGAATAACTTTGTTGCAATTTAATAGATTGTAATGAAAGCCAAATAATTTGGGATGACTAGACAAAGGATTCGTAACTTGTGGTTACTCAGGATTTCTTTTGTTACCAGAATTCGGTGGAGAAAAAGGTTAATTAGTTCATCCTCACATGAAGCCACTGTATTGGATTAAACTCTCTAATTTCTTTTTTTTTCCTTTAGCTGGCTCATTGCCATCCTAGCTCAGATGAACCCTCTCTTTGGCCCGCAGCTCAAGAACGAGACTATCTGGTATCTCCGCTATTTCTGGGAATAAGGGAGAAATACATCAGCTCATCCATGGTACAGTACATGAAGCTCAGTGGAAAGAGAGGGAGAGGGAGAGAGAGAGAGAAAATTAATGTTGGTACTCCCTTCAGGTTCAATTTGATGCCATAAACTGTGCTGGCTCAACCCATCAGCTGTTCTGTGTTTGACTTCTGCGGGGACGGGAAGGTCAACCAGGCTTCCCACTGCAGTACTGTTTACAACATAGTCAGCACCAGCATTGCTTTGAATTCCAGCAAATTAGTTTTGCAACCATAATAAACAGAAGGAGATTCTGTCCTTTCATGATTCCTGATTTCCCTCACTCTGCCATTGGTGGCCATATCTTCAGCCACCTGGGCCTGGAGCCCTGGACTTTCATTTCTACAACTCTGTGCCTCTCTGTCTCCCTCTCTTCTTCTCTTTTAAGATGCTTCTTAAAGCCTTCCTGTTTGATCAATATATTTGCCAGTCCAGTAATATGTCTTTATATAGCTCCGTGCCAGCTTTTGTTTGATCACACTTCTGTGAAAAACTTTGGAAGGTTTTGTTCTGTTAAAGGTGCTGCATAAATGTAGTTTGTAGTTATTGAAATTGGAGGAGTGCGGCTCTGAGGGAGAGCAGGGCTGCCAATGTCAACTTATCAAGTGGGTCCAAATTTCCGTTATGTAATGGAGCAAAGTAATGCTGTCCATGTGGTAGAAAAGGGCTGGTCACAATCTATAAAGAACATTTAGTGAGAATGATTATGGGAATAGAAAGAGGCCATTTTGTTGCTCAAGCCTGTTCTGTAGGTCTTGGGTGGTCTATACATTGAATCCAAAGAACTGCAGTCATCCTATATCCCTTGATGCCCTTCCCCCAAACAAAAATCTATTAACATCAGTCTTGAAAGTTGCAATTAATCAGTGTCCACTGCCTTTTGCAGGGATGAGTTTTGGATTAGCATCACCCTTTGTGGAAGGAAGTGTTCCCTGACTTTGGTCTTGAATAGCCCAGTTCTAATCTGAACACAGTTGTCCTCCCAAAAATAGGGTCAAGAGGGGAAGCAACTATCAAATAACGTGAACATTTCTGCTCAGACTATCAGGGATTCTTCTGTACAAGAAGGTTGATCTTCATTGGTTTAATGGGCTCTCCTGGTCACTGGTTTTATTCATTTCTCTCCTTTTTTGAGTAGCGTTTAAACATTTTTCTGCCTCTCTTGAAGGTTCTCCCTTTCCTCTTCTCTCTCAAGTATCTAATAATGCCTTGTTTTAGCTACACCATGGGTACCTTTCACGTTTCTGATCCAGCCAGGAAGGAGGCACCGACCAGCATAGCAACATTATTGTGGATGTCTCTCTTGGTTTTTTAAAGGTCCGACTTAATACTGGTCACTCTCTGATTAAAGTATCAAACTAGAGGATCTCAAAGTGCTGACAACAGCTCAGACGTCTCGTTCTGCTCTGGCTCGACTTCAGAAAGTATTGCGTGTTTTTGACATGCAAAATTTCATGTTTAAAATTTGCAAAGGCAATGGATGGCCATGGAGTGAGCTATAGGTTAAGAACTTATCGAGGGCTTCAGCTGTTTTATCTAGAGAGTAATGGCTAATCAGGACTGAATTGCAGACCACGTTAGCTCAGTTAGCTGGACAACTGGTTTGCGATGCACAGTGATGTCCATACCAGCTGAGGTCACCATGTAGGTCCCACCCTCTCAACCCCAGTCCTTACCTGAGGTGTGGTGACCCTCAGATTAAACTCATTTCCAGACATCTCTCGCTCTCGCTCTCTGAGGACTGTGGTCCCCTGGGAATATGGTGAATTTACCTTTGCTCTTTAAGGACTGTAATCTAACTGAAGTGTTCAGATCATGACATTAAATAAGAATGGGTTTAAATTGATTTCTATCTTCTGTTTCCTCAAGTAGATTTCAACTCGTAATTTCCTCCCTGCTATCTGGTATACAATTTTATTTGGAAAGTGCAGACCTTTCTTGTTTTTTTTTCATGCAAACAGCCCTTGGCATGTGACAACAGTCTAAATCAGCTGGACAAACGCACAGCCAACATCAAAATCAGTTCAGGCAGAACTAGAGTCACCTGAGTGACTATTTCCAAGTTTGCTTTTCCAAATTTATGATCACTAGAAACTACCAGCCATTCAGTGAAGGCACAATCTGTGAGGTGTTTCAGTGGGTGTGGGCATGGAAACCCTTTGGGAGTGAGAGATCCCATATTTTAATCCTCCCATGTTTTCCTGTGTGCGGGAATGAAAACAGAGGCAATATGACCAACAAAAACAGCCTTGCACAGCTTTACGCTGCAGCTGTTTGAATTTGTCTGGTATTCACATAAATGAAACTATTTCCAAATACTTTGTAATCAAGAGGAAACAACGCAGGGAATTTTGAACACGACAAGAGAATGCAACGCCAGTAGAAGGCATGAAAGGAGGAGAGAAGCATTTGAACAATTTGGCAACCATTTCTGCATCTCTTTATTTGACACCCACCTACTTTAAATTGACTTGTTCTGCTAAGTTTATTAAACCCTAGAACAATGTAAGTATGCAGTGTTCATCCACTAACAAATGCCAACACTACTTCCTAACCTCGAGGATTCACAGCCATGCCCTGTTTTGTCCTCATGGTAGATTTTCCAGCAAAGTGGGGCCTCTTGCTGTTTATTATCACCACCTTCTTCGAACCTTGCAGGCATTGAGTTTGTCTGAGCACTTATCCCAACTGAGAGAAGCTAAGTCCTACATTAAAGGGGATCAAACCAGGCATGTCTTGGCTTGGCTTGTTCAGTTCCCCAGCCAAGGCAGGAGAACAGAATTTTTTTTTTGTGTGGGCACTTCCCTAACAAACATTCCCTCGTCACCCCTCTTACTGATTACTGTTACCCGTATGAAATGTAGATGATTTAGTGTTATTTCATTGCGCGTTGTATCCTGTTTAAAATGAAGGGCAGCACGGTGGCTCAGTGGTTAGTACTGCTGCCTCTCAGCGCAAGGGACCATGGTTGGATTCCAGCCTCAGCATGTGTGAAGTTTGCACATTCTCCCCATGTCTGTGGGTTTCCTCCCACAGTCCAAAGATCTGCAGGTTAGGCAGATTGGCCATGCTTAATTGCCCATATTGTGCAGGGACGTGAAGGCTAGGTGGATTAGCCATGGGAAATGCAGGGTTACAGGATTAGGATGGGGGGAGCTAGGTCTGGGTGGGATGCTGTTTGGAGGATCGGTGTGGACTCAATGGGTTGAATGGCCTCTTTCCCCATAAGGATTCTATGATCTACATTAATTTTCCATGTTAAACTGGCAATTGTAGTTTCTGTCACCTGATGGCGCCAGGGTGCTGTATCATTTCTGGGGAATGGCGTCACCTCTTACTGTAAGGGAAACAGTACTACAGATAGAATATATTCTGCTCCTCGGTTCCCCCCAGGAACCCTTTACAGTACAAATCCTACAAATGTTAATCCGAAGTCTGATACCTGATCTGCTTGGATTTTAGTTAATCCCAGCAGGACAACTGCAATTAGTTTTTATGTCCAAGGAGCAAAATTCATTTCCAAAAAAAGCTACAATGTCTGTTCCTGACTGCTGTCATGTGGTCCTTGCTCAGAGTTCCTTGTGCATTCTTATTTTCTTTAACACGTTTGAAAAGGCAGTTCCACCCAGAGACCGGGATCAGGCTATAAATGAAGGAAGTAATGGTGCGGACAGTAGTGTTGAGGTAGGTCAGTCGGGATCGTATTCAATGGTAGAATGCCTTTTGAGGACTAATGTTTCTGCTGCAGTGAGGGGATGTCCAGTGTTGATGTAGCCCCAGCACACTTTTCTTTCTCCCAGCTGAATTTTGAGGCATTTGTCTTTCTAAATCCGATTGATGTTCCCTTGCCCACCCTTCCCCATTCCAATATTGCCAGAACTATAAATTCTCAATGTGAAGAGTAGGACAGGAGCAGCAATTATTGGAAAAACTGTAGTGTGTAATTCGGGATGTATTCTGCAGCTCCAGTTGATTTTTCCTGTAGGGAGGGTTATGGGGAGAATCATCTTTTGGGGAGAAATCCAAAGTCTATCTTCATTCTGACATTTTTACAAGAGACGGATAAATTTACAGTGAGGGCAAAGGAGGTTGGCTGACGGGATATATGAAAGCAGATGATTGCCATAGGAAGGTCAGTCTACACGCTACAAAATTGACACACAAACCTAGAAGTATTTGCAAAAAAGATTTACCCGGATTGCACCAAAGCTGAATGAAATAATTCCACAGGACCCGGTATCCTGTCACCAAGTCACCCTTTATTTACACCTGGAGAGTCCTTGGCAGCTTCCCCAGAGCCAGCTCTGAGTAAACAGAACTTCTGACACTCCTGTTTATATCTGTCAGCCAGGGGTCCCAGACTGGACCAGATTAACCACCCCAGTCAGGGAACTCCTATCCCATGAGGTCCACCTGGCTGACCTGGTTACAATCTCTACACTGAAGAAATTTTCACAACACTGATCATATTGGTGTTTTTTGTTTGAAAATATCAAGGTTTAGACATGATCTGATGGAGGTCTTTAAAATTATGCATGTGTTATACAGGGTTGATGTGCAGAGGATGTAACAACTTGTGGGAAAATTCAAAACCAGGGATATCAATTCAAGATCGTTACTTATAAATCTAATCAGGAATTAAGGAGAAATTTCTTTATGCATTGACTGGTTAGAAAAAGAGGAATTGGGGGTGGGGATGGTGCCTGGTGTTGGAATATTCAGTACCTCCCGCCTGATGCATCATTCAGTGACTGTGCTGTGACCTAAGAACTTTTAACCACTTTTAACTTTGCCCTGTATCTCTTATTAAGCAAAAGTTAACAAAAAATTAAAACACAAAAGATTCATAAATTTAAAAAGGCATTAGAATTAGTTGCCATTTAAGCAAAATGGTTAACTTCTGTCATGCTTTGTATGTAGAAGTGTCTCTTAATTTCTCACTGAAAGATGTCTCTAATTTTTAGACTTTTTAATCCTAGTCCAAGATGTGCCAACCAGAGGAAATAGGGTAGAGAGAAACTGTCAGTTCCCTTTAATATATTAAAGTTTTAACATCTGCCATTAACTTTCTGAATTCCAGAGAATATAGCTTGAGTTTGTGCCCTCACTTGTCCCCAGAATTTAACTCTTGGAGTCTGGACATCATTCTGGTGAATGTAATTTGCATTCTCTAAGGCCAGTCTGTTCTTCCTGAGGGATAGTGTCCTGTGTTCCAGATGTGGCCTTAAACTCTGACACTGATAGAATTTAAACCAATATTCTCCTAGGTGTTGGAACCTTAATTCGGCTTTTGAGTGCCCAGCTAATCTAGTACACAAAACCTGTGTGTCAGGCAAGGTTGGAATTGCAATATATGAGCAAGGACCAAGAGTAGGCCACTCAGCCCTTCAAGCCTGCTCCACCATTCAATAAAATCATGGCCGATCTGATTTTAACCTTGACTCTACATCTCTGTTATCCTCTCAATCCTTCATCTCCTTGGTAACCAAGAATCTACCTACGTCTGCCTTAAAAATATTTAAGGATTTTGCTTTAACTATACTCTGAGGAAGAGAATTTCAAAGCTACTTGATCCTCAGAGGGGAAAAAAAATTTTCCTCTGTCTGAATTGGGCAACCCCTTGTCTTTAAGCTGTAATATAAGTTTTAGATTCTCCCACAACAGGAAACATTCCTTCAGCATTCACCTGGTCATGTCCCCTCAGTATCTTGGACATTTCAGTTAAGTCCCCTTTGACTCCTCTAATAAGCTCCAGAGGATACAGGCCCAGCCTGTCTAGCCTTTCCTCATAAAGCAGGCTTCTCATTTCAGATATTAGTCTAGTAAACCTTCTCTGAACTGCTTCTATTGCATTAACATCCTTCTGTAAGTACAGTGGCCAGTGCTGTACACAATACTCCAGATCCGGTCTCACCAATGGCCTGTATAACTGAAGCATAACCTCCTCACTCTTGTGTTCATTCCCCTCAGAATAAATATTCTATGAGCTTTCCTGATTACTTGCTGTACCTGCATACAAACCTTCTGTGATCTATAAACTAGGACAAAAATGCAATCATTAGCTGTTGACAAAGCAGTAGAGTTGAGCAGTGCAGGGTAGAAGCATCATGCACTAACCATCTGAGCTGAACAGCACACCGTAGGAACTGGTAGAAACAAATCACTTAGAATTTTCAAAATGAAGCCAGACAAACACATGAGAAAAGGGGGATATGGCAAGCCTTCGCTTCAAGTTGTGCTTGCTTTGCTGAAGATCCTGTCCTCAATTGAAAGAAACAACTTTTAAGGGAACCACAAGTTCACTGGAGAGTCCCTGCACTGATGAACTTCTGTGATGAGATAAAGCGAGTATTTCAGTACAAGGTTGGAACCAGAGTCTGAAGAAGGGAACAGCTAAAGTAAGGGCAGAGATTGGGGGTTTGAGAACTGAGTGGGGGTTGAAGCAAGGCCGGGTGGGAGGGCAAGCTAGGAGTCAAGGGCAGAGGGAGGTAATGCCTGAGGGAAGAAAGACAGTGGTGGGGAGAGGGGAGGCAACAACATTAAAATGCAAATTGAAGAAATGGGCCTTAAACATCAAACAAAATTACAACAAGTTAACAATCTAAATGCACCTGCTGCTGCTGTCTTGCTACATGCTTTCTCTGTTAGGTTGCTGTTCGATTTGTACTCTTGTTCGGTTTTGAAGGAGGGGTGCCGCTTGAAACTTGAACTCTTTTCTCCACAGATGCTGACTGACAACTTGAACATTCCAGAATATCCTGTCATCTCCACATTCCCTGTAAAAATCATACCTAGTAAAACTTTGTACGTTCTCCCTGCCCCCTGACTCCTGCTCTGCAACAGACATTTGACTTTTGTTTCTGACCTGACGTCATTGCATGAAGTAAAATGATGATTTCTGCCTCACCAAACCCAAGGATTCCCCAGGCAGCATCCAAAGATTTCATGAAAATTGGTTTGAGGATATTTTAAATCAACTGTGTGCAATCCTCAGCATGCTAATTTCTGATGTTTCTTTCTGTTTGTAATTACAATGTGTCCCAGGAACCTGCTCCAATTAAAAATTATTTTTCAGTAGGTAAAGAAAACTAGCAGGCATTGTAGGGTAGCTATACTGTGATACTGTGCTTAGATTACTGTGACAAATCCATGTAGCAATGTTTTGATCTGTAAGGGAATATTTATTTTGTTTCAGCAATCTGCTACCAAATATGTTTTAAAAGTAGGAATTGATGTTCAATGCTGTAATCTTTAAAAATGTTGACAGTGCAATAAAATCAGATTGTGTCCCATCCCCAAACTTTCTCCTATCTCTGTTCAACTTCACTGAAATTGATATGAACATCATTGATGAGGCTATCATTTATTGCCCATTTTCAATTTCCTTTTAACTGAATGGCTTACCACATCGTTTCAGAGGACAGTTCACATCAACTGCAATAGTAGTGGAGTCTCACAGACTGGACTGGATGAGGAGAGTAGGGAACCAAATGGGTTCTTCTCCAGTTGCCAAAATGGGATGTTTCCAGACCAGGGCTTTGGATTTCTGACTTCATAATATAAGCACAGTGCAACCATTTCAGGAATCCTGGAGGTTTTTTTTTTGTTTTTATTCACTCATGAGATATGGATGTCATTGGCTGGGGCAGATTTATTACCCATCCTTGGTTGCTCTTTAGAAGGTGGTGGTAAGCTGGCTTCTTGAACTGCTGCAGTCCATGTGGTATAGGTGGACCCACAATACTGTTGAGGATTGAGTTCCAACATTTTCTAGTGATGCTGAAGGAACAGTGATATATTTCCAAATCAGGTTAGCATGTGGTTTGGAAGGGAACCTGCAGGCAGTGGTGTTCCCATGTCTCTGCTACCCTTGATCTCCAAGCCATTCCTGCAGTCTGTAGCCATTGTAAATAATCTGATTTCCGGCTGTTATATTTTCCATCCTCCTCCCAGTCTCTGGAGTCTCACACCACATACGTTTTGGTTCAATATCCTAGTTTAATGAGTGTTTTTTTTTAAAAAAAACTTATTTTGCTTCCTGGTTTAGTAGGAACTGCAGATGCTGGAGAATCTGAAATAACAAGGTGTAGAGCTGGATGAACACAGCAGGCCAAGCAGCATCAGAGGAGCAGGAAGGCTGACGTTTCGGACCTAGACTCTTCTTAAGAAATCATTAAATGATTAAAGATGAACGCCGTTTTTTTCGGGCGGGGAGGGGGTTCAGTTTGGGGCATTTCTTACCCGGGGTAAAAAGTCGCAGTTTGGGGCATTTGGGATCACACTGATACTACAATGTGACAGAACAGCTGAGGGCGTGCCTTCTAATGATTGACATCCATTGCAACCAATCACGTATCTAACCAGGAAGACCAGCCAATTACAAAGAGGCAGGGCGGGCGAATCCCGCCCACTTGTGACGTCCCGCGGTGATCCTTGCTACAAAACAATTGTTGCAAAATACCTCGATGAAGGAGCAAGGTTTAAATGAGTTGATTAAAACATTCTGGGAGCCAAGGACAAAAGCGAAAATGAACTGAAGCGACTAAGATGTGTAGTTTTAATTAGCATCCAATCGCAGTGGCCTGGGGAAATGATGGACGTGGGGTTGTCCAATTGAAATGCGGCTATGTCATCAGTGACCAATGAGAGCTTGGTATGGGCGGGGTTACAGGGGGTTAGTACGACTGGTGGATGAAGCCCCTAGCTTTGGGGGGGGGG